ATTTTTTTCTATTTAATAATATTTATTTCAAACTTGCAAGTTGAGTTAAAAGTTATGGTAATAAATTCATTTTTTTTTTATTAAAACTTTCACTTTAAAGAACAAAAAGAAGTAGGTTCAAAATGATTACTTTTAACATATTAAAAATCAATAATAATTTGAAAATAATTAATTATAAAAATTATATAATATATAATTAAAATAATTACTAATCTGGATATAATTAAGGAAATAGGAGTTGATGTTGGGTTGGGTTGGTTACATTTTTAACTTTATAATGCTATAACTCATTGAAAAGTGTACGAATCAACACAATTTTTTTATGAGAAATAATATTTTTTAATAATCCCTTTTTCATTCGACATACTTTATCTTAATCAGGGTATTAATAAGAAACTAGCAGATAATGTAGCTTTTGTAATTATCCACCAATTTCTTAGAATTAAACACTATCTACTGATTTGCATCGAAGCGTTTCTTATGATAGTGATTTTAATCACTGTCAGATTAAATCTATACTGGACCCAACTATGCAACATCCCCACTATGCCGCGACCCCACTGTGCTGGGTTTTTTTTTTATAAAATAACACCATTTCCTTTTATATAATTATGTATTATACATNTTATAAAATAACACCATTTCCTTTTATTACATTTATTGTATATTACACTTATAAATCATAAAACTTGTAATCAGGAAATAAATAAGGAAATAGGGTATCATGTAGCTTTTGAAATAATCCACCAATTTTTTAAAATTAAACACTATCTAAAGATTTGCATCGAAGCGTTTTTTTTTATAGTGATTTAATCACTGCTAAATATCATTATACTTGATCCAACTATGCTGTCACCACTGTGCCGCGACCCCCCGTGCTGGGTTTTTTTATATAATATTTTATAGGTCAGTTGTTCGTTATGTGGTGTGTATATATGTAAAGAACATACTACTCCTAATTGTCCGTGAATGAAAATTCGAACGATGAGTTATAATTTTTAAAATTGTTATTATTTTAAAAGATTTTGTTATAAAAAAATGATTTGTTTAATTTTTATATATATTATATCTTTTTTTTTTTTACCGAAAATTATGTTTTTTATATCAAAAATTTGAGTGAAATTTGCTATTAAACAATATAATTATTATAGGATATAACTAGACAAATATTTTTGTCTTTGTTTCACTATTTCAAGTTCAATAAATATTTCACAGAACCGAAAAAACGATAATGTTAGCGTAATGCTAACATGATACCAATCATGTAAGAGTATATAACGATACAGATGACGAGTTAGTTTTCAATTCTCAATCACCAGTACATAACTGTATTTACCATTACAGTAAAAAGATAATGATATCCTCAACGTGATAAATATCAGTCATGTCAAGCTCAAAGTTACGAATTTGAATAATAATTTTAACATTGGTTTACTAAGTTTTCTGATGAATTTTTATGATTATTTCCTGTTTATTTTAATTGTACATAATCATAAAATTAATTCTGTTATCATTTTTCATATATTTACTTTCTAATAGTTTTACGAGAGCTATGTGAATTTCATATATTCTATTTTATTGGAACCTTGGTTATTTTATACATAATTATGTATAAAGTATCCTTTGAAAACAAAACAAAAAATGAGTAGTTATGAAAATATTCTATAAATTACAAGATCAAATAATAATATCTAACAAGATATTTAATAAAAAAATAATTTTTTTCACAGATGAATTTAATAAACATTACACGTATTGATGAACAAGGTAAATTTTCTAATATGTCTGTAAAAAACGATTTGATAAATGTATGTGCTATACATAAAATAATGACGTGTAATTTTTTACAAAAATAGAAAGTATAAAAATCACGACTCAAAACATGTTTATAAAACAGACGCATCCATATTTAAATGGAAAATTGATAAAAACTGAAAATAATTTGTACTGTGTAGGGAATTTCAAAATTACACATTTAAATATATCATGTAAATTCATTATAACCTTATAAATAAATAAAAAGTAATAAAATTTGATGCTTAATTCGTGAATTGATTTTAGATAATCGTTTAAGTGACAATATATTAAAAATTATTGAGAAGATAATTCAGTATCAACAAAATATATGTTCAGCTGATGAAGGATTAGTTGATATTAAAATTAAGGTAGTTTATTAAAGTTATAATATTAAAAATTTTATACAATATAATTCTATGAAGTTTATCTTATATCAAGTGAGGGGCTTGGTGCAACGATCAGATATAAAAATTATAGTGAAATATGTTGAAAAACCATTTTCTTAATTTATGTTAGTCCGATAATGTTTAATTTTTTTACGCCGTAAATAGGGATAGGGTCAGTGTGTATATACTTACGCTTACACTACTTCTTTTTCCTCGCTTTAATCCCGATAACTTGAGGTCGGCGACCCTTATTCTAAACTTCGACTTAACACAATCTCCCACATCAGCCGTCCTCAAATCGCATTCAATTACACCTCTCCATCTCTTTTTTGGTCTTCCTCTACCTCTTCTTCTTTCAATAATCATTTCTATAAATGTACTTACAGCTTCCAATACATTTTTCATCATAACTTGACTAAACCATCTAAGTATATTTCCTCTCATCTAATCTACGATTGACGCTACACCTATACTCCTTATATGTTCGTTCCTTATTCTATCTTCTCTAGTCACTCCACTCATTCATCTAAGCATTCTCATCTCTGCTACATACATTCTCTGCTCTACTTTCTTGTCAACTGCCCAACACTCTGAACCATTTACAACCTTGGTGCACTTCTACTTTTACCTTAAAATATTCTGTTATTCCTCCTACGCTTTTTACTATACTACAAGTGCCTTCATACATAGCTTCTATTATAATAATGTACCTTTTCGTCACTCTTTTTCTCATTAATGCCTTTCTCCAAATTTATAAATACCATACACAGCGTTTTCTTCTTTTCCCTAAACTTTTCTATTAGTTGCCTCACACAAAATTTGTTTTGTTTGTCTCATTGTTGATTTACCAGGCATAAATCCAAACTGGTTTTTAGTTACCGATGTCTCATTTCTTATTATCTTATCTATTACCTTTTCACAAATTTTCATACTATGATTCTTAAGCTTTATACCTCTATAATTTCCAGAGTCCTATATATTTCCTTTACCTTTAAATATTGGCAGAACAATACTATTCCTCCATTTATTTGGGATTTTTCCTTCTAATAAGTTTTTATTTAAAACATTTTTCATCCACCTAATGCCAACACTGCCTAATATTTTTCATACTTCTACTGGCACTTCATCTGGTCCTACTGCTTCATTTTCATTGATGCCACAGAGTACACTTTCCCTAACCCAGATGTATAAACATTCCGTACTGTAATTTAATTTTAATGAAGAATATAATAAAAATAAAAAAATTCTTATTTTTTAAAACAGAAAACATTTTTATTATACAACCTTCTAACTGCTCAACATTTGGTCCCTCTACCGTAATATTTTTCACGAACCACGAAAGGTCGGTTATGTTGTAACGTGACAAAATGTGAACCTTTATATATATTATTATTTCTTATGGTACAAATAAATTTAATTTTTTTGCTTTACTAATGAACGCGCGTACGTTATATCCTGCTGTGTAATCAGAAAACTGTACTATTGCTGTCAAGATGAACGCTATACACACATATGCTTTATCAATTTAATAATCGTTCCCAATATGACACATACCACTGTCAATACCTGTACGATTTTAATATTGTTCCATACTTTTATTTTTTTTATATTCTATACATTTTTAGGCCAATACCCTCTCCTAAATCGTGATCGTTGTCGTCAGCGTGTCTTGTCCTAGTGTATAAAAAGATTGACGATCTCTTCTCTATGAATCACCGTAGTGGTATTTTTCTACGTGCGTTTATAATCTATTTTTCTAATCTACTGTTTTACATAAGATTGCTAATCGCTGGGACTTAGAGGAAATATTATACATCTTATTTTCGGTCAAACACTTTTGGTGATAAAAATATTCCAACACATTAAAAATATTGGTATTCATTTATTTTTATTTAGGGTGTTCAGTAAGTAAGAAAAGGGTTTCTATTGTTCTTTTTGTTTGTAACAATTAAACTGTTTCCTTATTTACTGAACACTATATAAATGGTGGCAAGTGATACATTTGTTTCACGTGATTTATAAGAAAATATATTTTATTTTACAAATTTCGTCACTAATATATATTTTTTAATTTTTTGCTTTTTGTTTCACAATTTTAAAATTCTTTTCCTCTTAGTATATAAAAAAAAGAATGAAAATTCACATAATCAAAATTGATTATTTAGTTATAACACAGATAAGATAAAACTAAAAGTGCACTTTGTATTCAAGACGTGTAATTCTCAGAAATGTAAAAAATCAAAACTTGTTTCAAATCAATATCACCATTCGTAAAAAAAAAAAGTTTTTATGACAAATTATTATTTTTCAATTATAAATTTCTAACTATTAATGTTTGTTATGATGCTGTTGTAAATGCTGTCAAATTAACTAACACTTTCCAGTTCCGTTTGACCTTTGCGATATTGGAGTATGAATATTCATTTTATATTTGAAATTTATTTATATATTGTTAATTTTTGTACCAGTTTTATATAAATAAATCATTTTAACTTTTTTTGACTAAAAAAAAAATGTTAAATTTAAGTAATAAAAAAGCACAGGAAAATATTTTTAAAAGTGTGTCCAGGAGATACTTTTTATTGAAATGTAAATATTATAATCATATTTAGCATTCAGTTATCAATACAATCACGAATTTTTTTGTAGCGTTTCTTCGTAAACAGATAAAAAATACTTTTTCATGACAGTACTACGATTTAGTAATTATTTATCTATTTATATTTTATGTGGGTTGTCTAATTTAATGAGTAAATTATCTGCTCTAATCATAAAACAACATAAATCTAGATTACGCGTATCTGAATGGTATAGTAAGCGTAGACACACACGACAAAAAAAAGGAATTGCAATACGCATAGAGTACGTTATTAAATCGGAAAGTACGCAACAGTTGGGTTGATTGTCGTAACGAAAAAGATGGCATAATCAGCAATATACAGTCCGCGACAGCCTTCTCGTGGTTTCAAGAGCGAGAACAAATATGATAACCAAAGAATGAATGTTCATAAAATAAGAGCCACCCTAGTATTTTTGCGGATTCTGAACATGAAGCTTCAATTTCAAAGGAAAAAGAAATTTTTCATTAATTAATACAAAATCTGATTTATCATACATTATTTCTCATTATAGTTTTTTGGGCAAATCAACATCAAAGCTAGAAAATACCAAAAGTTCCATTATGCAAAAGTTCAAAAATGATCGATTCATTAATTTTTGAGATTGAAGAGTTTAATAGCCGAATTATTAATGAATAAAATTAACGCAGTTTTAAACAAAAATCCGGGATTGAAGGATATTAAAATTATAAGAAACATTTAGTAATGAAATATACACCGATAATATGTTGTGATGAGTACCGTTCTTTCAGTCATTCTTTAGACCAAATCGATGTTTCCATCGTTTTATTTTGAAATGATTAATTAAATTATTTTAATGTTTATTATTGTGTATTTAAAAAAAAGTTGTTTAAATATTAAAAATATATTTTAGTTAAGTATGTTTACATATTTTACATTTTTATGTAGCATATTTAAAATTTTTAATCATATATTTTGGTCATATTAATTACACATTTTTAGTTTTATACTATATATAAAACATAGCCCTATATATTACAAATGTATTTTCCTTTTGTGTTGGTATTAAGAGTGATAAATACTTCGTCAAGTAAATCAAATTAGATAGAAGTATCACTATCACAAGTTAAATTAGATCACCCTCGTCTAAAGCTGAAGTTGGAATTCGTCAACAAAGAAAGTCAAGGCAGAAAGTTTTAACTTGACGTGGTCCCTAGTCAATTCTTGATACACGGATCCCCACTTAAAGGTACCTTTAAAAAAATGAATAAAAATATTACCTTATCATCAGTCCAACCGTTTACTTCTTCTGCTTTGTCATATTATAAAATTGGCACACATAGAAACTTCTATCAAAACATTCAGGTTAATCATCAAAGTTTTTAATGTGCTTGTCATATTTTTTTCACTACGCTTTTCAATAAAATTTGTTTTACAGTTATTAATATTTATGTTTTTGCTATCAGTTATTTTTACAAAAACGTTTTTTGTTTCAACATAAGAATTAAAATTAGAACTTGTTTCAAAATTTTCATTAATTACTTGAAAATTCGAGGAATTAAAACTAATTTGTTGTGATAAGTTTATTTCTTCATAATCATTATTTCAAAAAAAGTTACATTTTTTTTATTTTTAGCTTTCTCTGTAAAAAAAGATTTAGTATAAAGACCGTTTTAAAAGTTCTATTTTTTATACAATTTTTCAAGTTTTGAACGCCCTCTATATATGGGGAAATTGTCCAATTTTAATAAATAGTATGTAAAATGAGAGAGGTACTTATAATGTATTTAGAAAAAAAAAAATTATGCTGATATATACATTTTTCAAAAGGATATAGCATTTTTAAGTTGAAAATTTAAAATCGAAAATCGAAAATTTTAACAAAGAATAGTGTTTTTTTAACTACGGCAGTAGTTTAAATGTAAAAGATAAAGTGTCGGGACAAATTTTTTTTTTTCATTTAATAGCACATAAAATAAACTTTAATTTGATATATGTTTAAAGGACGCAGTATTTCTGGAACATTTTCAAAAATTAAGTTGAAAAAGTTAATTTTTATAAAAAATTTGCTATTTTAAATCCCCCCCAATGAGCAGGTTAAGTGATAGATTTTCAAAAAATGATATCAAATGAAAGGTAAATATCTATGGTTTTAGTATAAAAAAAATTATGTTGATTTGTTGATTTTTCAAAAAGTTATGGAAGTTTTAAGAAAAAAAAGTGAAAAAAAATTACAAAATATACCGATTTTTAAATTTGTAATTTTTTTGGATTTTTCCCCATTTTCAGGGAACGAGGGAATTTTTTTCAATTTTTGAGGGTAATGTCTCCAACTAGATACGATTTGTGATCTTTTGACGTACTTTTGAAAGAAATCGGTCCAGTGAGAGCTGAGAAAAAGTGGCAACAGACATAAAAAAAAACGCATCATAGTAAAATTAATACCTTCTCAGCTTCGCATCGAAGCTAAAAATGTTTTACTTTCAACTTTAAAGATAATAGACTATATTACATTACAAATTTAACCCAAATCCCTATACATTATACGTTCAGATTTGCTTAAACATTTCGTTTAATTGTTCTCTGTGTTTATGTTATACCATAGAAATTGAGTGACTCCTGTATGTAAAATTATAATAGAAATTTAGTCCAAAATTATTTAACTTTAACAAGTTGTAACAGACGAACGGTTGATCGGAATAAAAACATTATAAGAGCAAAGTTAATTGAATTTATATTTTAAATTATATTAACAAATTCTAAATGGGGGTTCCCATTTAAGAAAATTCAAGTTCATGTTTTTTAACATTGAAGGGATGACAAAATGTGCAAAAAATGGATGTTTTTACTACATATTATTGTAGAGTTTTTTGAATTAAACAATATTTTCCTTACCAAAAATTTAATATCTTCAATGGTTACCGAGAAAATGAGTTTCTTATCCTTAACGAATCATCCTGTATATAACATGACAGGTGGTATTGTAACACGCCTGCCATGTTGAGGGCCCTAAAAAAGATGGGGACACCTACAAAAAAAATTAATAAAAATTTGATACACGTGCTTATGACACGGCGCACTAACAAAAACAAAACAATACATTACCAGCCTTGAAGGGCTCAATACTGGAGGTAGGTTCAGCCGACGCCAAAATACAAAAAATTACATTTTAATTAATAACGGACATCACGTAAAAATATATACAGGGTGGGCCACCACTCACTGACAACTTAAATAACTTTTGATCCAGTTAATATTTTTAGCTGATTTTTTTTTTAAATAATAGTTATACGTTAGGTCTATAGCTATATCTCAATAATTAATTTTTTTACATTTTATTAAAAATATTAATTATTTTTAAATTTTAAATAAAATGTAAAAAAAAAATCTAAGATAGCTATTTTGTAGAGTAGAATTTAAGAAAAATTTTAGTAAAAAAATATCTTATTAATATTCAATAGTAAATATTCTGTAGCGTTTTGAAGTTTGTGAAAATTTGAAATTTCATGTATTATTTTACGGTATTAAACATTGAAATACGTATTGAGAAAAGGACAGAAGAAAACGCTATCTTTTCATGATTACTGTGTATACATATGATGATAATGTGTATACATTACAAACTTGGCATTAATACCATGATAAGAAATTAGATAAGGCAATTATTACTTATCACTCTCATTCAAAAGTATATTGAAAAGATAGCGTTTTCTTCTGTCCTTTTCTCAATACGTATTTCAATGTTTAATACCGTAAAATAATACATGAAAATTCAAATTTTCACAAACTTCAAAACGCTACAGAATATTTACTACTGAATATTAATAAGATATTTTTTTACTAAAATTTTTCTTAAATTCTACTCTACAAAATAGCTATCTTAGATTTTTTTTTTACATTTTATTTAAAATTTAAAAATAATTAATATTTTTAATAAAATGTAAAAAAATTAATTATTGAGATATAGCTATAGACCTAACGTATAACTATTATTTAAAAAAAAAATCAGCTAAAAATATTAACTGGATCAAAAGTTATTTAAGTTGTCAGTGAGTGGCGGGCCACCCTGTATAAAAACAAACAATAAGTTGCAAAGCATACAACAAATTTTACCGCTACGGACGAAAATTAACCTACAACCAGTTCTGACAATGGCTAATTTCTAAAAGACCGTCTGACGTTTGGCCCAGTGGTCCTAAGCAACACCCGGCTATCCTTTAGAGTAGGGACAGCAAATTTTACTACCCAGTGCCGGAAATTATTACGAATAATTCGAATCAAAATATATCATAAGGTGACAATGTAGGTCACAAATACCATTCATGAACTGATCCGAAATAGTACCAATCTGACTATCTCGCACGCGCACAAACAAATTGCAACACCTTATCGTGATTATTTGAATGATAAAGGCTGCCGCAGCACTCATTCGGCTCAACTAATATAATTTAGGATACATATATTTATGTATATACAAATATACCAAAATAAATAAGTACTTTTTGTCACGTTACAATTTAAAAGTAATATTTTTATAACCTATCATAATATGCAGTATTCTACTAATAAGCAATCATTCATCCTAGCATATTCAATGTGAAATATGAAATAATGAATATTTTTATTATAATATTTTATACTAATGTTTAGGGTTTTGATAAGCCGAAATCAGAAAGTATAGATAAACTAATGGATACAATAAGAAAACTGAAAGAACAACCTATCACTAGATAGTCAAAAATATTTTAAACTTTATAATGTGTTATCTAGTTAAATATAACGTATATACGTATAATTATTTAAGTGTAGTTATAGAATATATTTTTTATGTATCATTTAACTTGAAGTTATAAAGCTTTAATGAGCCATTAAGTTGCATGTTAAAAGAATTTAATAATATTGTGTTACAGTTTAATTATTAAAGTAAAACTAAACTTCAATTTTTATGTTTGAATAACGATTAATTTACCTATATTTATTTATAAAGAAATAAATACAATTCGTTCAAAAATATGAAATGAAATAAAACATTTTTTCTACAAATATTTTACAATTTTTTTATATACTAAATGTATCAAAAATCTTCATCCAATTTCAAAAATTTATATTTATATTAAAGGGATGAATCGCCAAATTGTTTCCTTTACGCCCAATCCCCCGTTGAGGGAGTTCACCGTTCAAATACCGGCGAACTTCTAACTTCCATTGCGGCGGTGCTCCATCTTGTTGAAAAACAAACTCATCACTATTTGCTTGTAACTTTGGAACAACCATGTTTGCTACATGTTTAGATATGTGTTACGCATTACTGTGTTTTCTTAAAAAAAAAAATGGACCGTAAACTTTTTTCCTGGATATTCCGCAAAAGACATTGATTTTTTGTGAATCTCTTTGATGCTCAACAGTTGCATGTGGTTGCTCTAAAGCCCAAATCCTGACATTATAGCGGTTGACTTTTCCACTCAGATGAAATGTGGCTTCGTCCGAAAAAACAATGCGTGAGACAAATGACTCATTTTCTTCTTGTTTTTCGTATATAAAATTTCAAAAATCAATCCTTTTTTGTTTGTTATCCGGTAAGAGGTCCTGTCTGTAACAGTTGTATTCAGTATGCTTTTAATGTCAAACGACGTCGTAGAACTCGCCAAACGGTCGAATGTGGGGGACCTAGCTCTAGGTCTGCACGACGTGGTGTAGACTTCTGTGGACTTCGAACGAAACTTCGTCGAACACACTCGATGTTTTCATCAGAGGTACGAGGTCGACCTGAGCGTTTCTGTACACACACATTACCACTTTCTTGGAACGTTTGGTGCCAACGTCGAATGCTTTGAGCAGTGGAGCTTCAGTTCCATAAATTCTTCGAAAATCACGTTGAACGTTTATTACCGACCCGCACTTATTGAAACGTAGGACGCAAAACGCTTTCTGTTGCAGAGTCGCCGTAACGAAACAAACTAACGGTTCCTAGTTCACTAACCATTACGGTGCCAAATTTATCTACTAGATAACTTAAAATAAATTTGGTTATCTAATCTTTCCATTAATACATTGGTCATTAACCTGCGATTAATCGTTACCGAACTATATCAGTTCGTAATCGGATGAAGACTTTTGAAACAGCGTGTATTAACCTCAAAAATATTAGTACTATCCTCTATACTTCTTAATTATTTAAACTGTGTTAACTTGAATTCTTAAGCGATAACCATTTACAATTTTTTATTTAATAATAATCTAATTATTTAATAATCATAAAAATTAACAATGAGTTGTTATTAATACTCATGTTATATTTTGCGAAATCCTTCATAAATTATAGCATGTTTATAGTAATTTATGTTATAATCCTATGTTTATAACTGGTTGTCATGTTTAAAGACATTTCGTATAAAAAGTCCTTATTTAATAACCAATTTTTACCTATTATCTATTTGTTAAATGTGTGCTGAGCTAAAAACAAAACAAGATTTTTTTATAAACTTGACATCGCACACTGCTTTAAGCGAGTGTTCACTCATGTGTCTCCTAATATCAGCCGTCTATTTATTAATATGACATTCAGTAATCATCGTGCATTTCTCGCTTTTGATACCGTGATTAGACCGCCGCCGACAGTGTATTGATGATTATGCGTTTTGTTCGTTTAGACGTTTATCTTTGCAACTCCACGCTCTTGTGAGTTTTCTTTAAGCCGATAGTCATCTGAGTTGTTTATTTTTGCGATGTCCAGATACTGTCTGTAATTTGTTCATCGAAGTCATAGCTGTCATAACTTTCTATGGTAGGTACGCGTTAACCTTTGAACGTGTATATATGCGTCGAGTCCGCGTGTTAGATGTGCCACACCCTCACACACAAAAGCTTATTCAACCGACCATTGATTACATTACTATATCGCTTATATTGTTAGACAACCGCTTTCGCCTCACCCATCCATCCTCCAACGAATTTTAGAATCGGCTACTAGACCCATTAGGTACTCTATTTTTAATATCAAAACTATCACCGTAAAATAATGATCACTGTCGTATGCATTTTATGATAAAAACGAGTATTTCACGCAAATGCAATTTTTTCTTTATTGTATAACCGGTTCAACGATCTGTATCCTGTCACATATATGTTAAATTGACGTTAGCGGACAATTGTATTTTTAAGAAATTATTATTTTAATATTTTACACGCGACAATAAAATCATGAACCAGCAAACTTATACGTCTTCTGTACTAGGTATGTAGATTTTTACAATTATTAACTTTTATTATTTTAATACACTTTTATATATCTTAAATTTAAAAATAATAAAATAAAACCAATACCGATTGTATTGTGTCAATTTTTACTTAACAATTATTTTTTATTACGTTTATTTTTTGTGTTTCATTTGTTTAATTCTTTTTTGTGTTTTAATTATTTATACAGTAATCTAAACATGACTAAAAGCCGAAACTAATTGTTATTATTTATTCATAAACCGATAAAACTGAGCTAGTTGCTAGAATCGCTGAAATAATCGGTAACCATCCGATCAAGTAAAATCTCAAATATGAGGACTTATACCATATACCGCGATCGAAAGCACTGCCCGAGAACCGTGCCTTCATAACATAGGTTAGGGTATTCCTATCCGATACTAACATAGGTTGTGTAAACGATGAAGATTTTGAGGTTATGCTCGTTGAGGAAGACGCGTACTGATCATAGAAAAGCGATCATCAACCTACAGAATATCGATCAGTCCTGTTTCAAGTGGGCTATTTTAGCGTGTATATTTAATAATATACATCTTAATCAAAAATATTTTAACGAGGAATACTGGTACGATTTTACAGAGTTGATTTTCCTCGCACTTTTTTCTACTTCTTCTTTTTCCTTTGCTTAATCCCAAGCACTTGAGGTCGGCCACCCCTATCCTAAACTTCCACTTGACACAATCTTCCAAATTAGCCGTCCTTATATCGCATTCAATTGCACCTTTCCATCCCTTTTTTGGTCTTCCTCTACTTCTTCTTCCTTCAACATTAATTTCTTTAACTGTTCTTACAGCTTCCGATTCTTCTCTCTTCAGAACATGACCAAATCATCTAAGTCTGTTTTCTCTTATCTTATCTACGATTGACGCTACACCTATAATCAATTATGCACTGCTCAACAGACCATAACAACCCAACTATACCACATTGCCACTGTGCTGAGGATTTTTTTGAGCCTCATCGTTTCTTCTAACACAGCATATTTTGTATATTTTGAGGCCACCAACTTTTATAGTTTGTATTTCTGACATTTGAACCAACTTGACGGTATATTTGTTTCCACATTGTCATGCCAGACACTATACTTTTTTCGTGTTTGGTGTTTGAGCAACACAAGTTGATATGCGACAAGAACAAGCCTATATTATTTTTTATGTCGGCAGAGAGTATTAAGGTCGAATTTGACGCGCGGGTCTCATGTTACCGTTCGTCATCTACGCCGATTCACACCGTGCTCAGTTTTAGCTTCTATTATATATTGAAGTACTCTTGAACGACTACGACATACTATTAATGGTGGAACATGGTGGGATAGTGCAAGCTGACAAGCACCGAGTTTCAAACCAGAGGCAGTGCGCACCAAGCACTGCCACGCTACCGACTCGGCCACACCGTCCTCTCAACGTGCAATGATATAAATACATAAATACTTTTTAAGTGTATTAGAGTTTCAACAGCGTGGAAAAAGATGATTTTGAAATAGCATTTTTCAAGTTGATGAATAATACCATTTTTGGTAAATACTAAAGTATTAATTAAAATTTTTTTATTTATAAACATATTAAAAATTAATTACAGGGAAAACCATGAAAAATATAAGAAATTTCTTCTCGCAAGGGGCGACTATAGTGATGGGATTCTTGATCTTTATTAAAGATATTGAATTTAAATGATATAAAAATCAAACGAATTGAAAATGTATTCTAAAAAGAATTAAGAAAAAAATTCAAAACATTTCATGTCATAGACGGGTTGGAACCTTGAATCCCAAGCGCTTCGTTGAAAAAAATAGCTATTTAAGCTAGTTCAAATTTCAAAGTTATTTTTCTCGACTTCAAAAAAGCCAAAAAAATTTAAATAAGTTTAACTTCCTATGCTATATCAATTTTATTTATATAATACTTATCCAAATCAGTGTACTCCCCTTGGTCATGTATTTTGAAATAAAATAAAATACAAAACCCAGAATTTTAACATAAAACAGCATATTTTTGAATATGGTAGTCATTTTTACCATGAGGACAGAGATCAAATTTCTTTTTTCAAATTAAAGTATATTACATAATCTTTAATTTAAGGTNCAAATTAAAGTATATTACATAAGCTTTAATTTAAGATATATATAAAAGTGTCAGTCTTTCCGGAACATTTTCAAAAGTTAAGTTGAAAAAATTCTACTTTCTATACGCATTTTAAAAGGTTTGACCCTTCCCCCTGTATATAGGGAAATAATGGTCCGATTTAAAAAAAATGTATGTCGAATGAAAGAGGTATATATAAAGAATTTATCATTAAAGACTAAAATTGATTCATGCATTTTCTAAAAAGTTATAGCAACATAATGTTAAAAAATGTAAATATAATATCAAGAATTTTTTCACAAAAATTGCATATTTTTGCATACGGTAGTCATTTTTACCATGAAGACAAGTACAGAGGTCAAAAGACATAAGAAATTAAACTTATTAAATTATTTTAAATTATTAAATNATTTGGCGTATCTGCTGCAAAAC